CCAGCATTGTTGGGAGTTCCAATGGGTTATGTAATTAAACCACAAAAGGTCATAATATATCCACAGATCTGCAATGCTTGTAGTGTTTTGTTTATTGATCAATAATTTTATGTCTGCTATACTTAATATGTTTTAAAGTTACCACAGATTTCTAACCAGTAAATCCTATCAGATTTATCTTCAAAATCATTAATATTTAATACAAATAACTAACATTTTGCTGGTGGAGGAGAACTGCTGCAAAGATAGTTGGAGAGGTAAGAAGGTAATAAAGCACACTGCTTAGTGTGCCATAATTGGGTGTCAGTGCAAGAGAGATTATTTAGTTTAGTCATTGCAAAATTTATTTTAAGTGCCTGTGACATTTAAACTGTTCATTTATACACCATAACCGTTCCGTTCTAATTGTAATATCAGCCTGTATGCTGCTTTTGAAAGGCTAGGGGCCAATGAGATGCTTATTTGGGAAGAGCACTTAATTTCTCTGTACACTGCCAGGTCTTAAGTCTCTCCCCTGCTTCCTCTCTCCCCCTAACCCATAGTCTGAGACTGTAAAATTAAGAAGTGGAGGCTGATGGCCCGGCAGCTAGTAACTACTACGGTGATTGAGCCACAGAACTCGTAGTAGTTGTTGTTAATCTTGGTCCCATCCCTGCTTCCACATTCTGTTCATGTTGTTTCTTTTATGGCAAAAACATGTAATTGAGTTGATGAATTTTATCTCTTAAAAAACCCCATAATGTTGTGAGCTAGTGCTCAGAAAAAAAATCTGAAATGACAAGATAACAGGCACTGTGAAGAACTTCAGAAGGGAAATAACACAACTGCAGCTGGCGTGTCTATGGCCATTTCCTTTTGTTGCATCTGGGCCGTACGGAGTTTACTGCGCTTGTGAAGGACACAAACAGGAGTCCTGATTTTTTTAATTTTTTTTTTTTGCTTTTCTTATGTCTCTTCTTTTTAAGAAGTATTGACAGCAAAAAGGAAATTCATTTTTAAATTTCAGTTGTCCTTCTTGAGAGGCACTATTGCCTTGGACCTCTTGATTTATCTTATGTATGCTTATACTTTGCATACTTGTGAAAATCATACCCAAACTTTAATTGTAAGAACTTTAAATTCCGTAGCCTACTTAAACTTGTTTTCTTGACCCAATCCTTTCTCTACCAGCTCTCCACAACTATACAGACATTAAACTCTCTTTTTGTGCTTTATTTCTACAGATGTGTGTTATTTCTATAGATATGCTATGGAGCTAGCAATAAATCCTCATTTAATTGAAGCAATTAAATCCAAATCAGATCTGAAATTCTGTTTATAGGCATTATTCAAGAAAATGTTACCTTGATAGATGAGTGTTTCTGTAACAGCTGATGGAATGTATGCTAGGTGCCTGTTGAGTGTGCATCTGTAATACAGTATTTAGTTCTTTGCAGAGGGGAGACATAAGCAAAAGCATTTTATAGCGATAGCAATTTATGCACAGATTCTTTTTATTTCATTAAAGTTTTCAGAAATCTACCATCTAGATCTACTTTTACTCATAAAGAAGAAATTCACCAAATATAAAGGGTTGTAGTCAATGTGGAATCAGAAGTATTTTTGCTCCAAGTACAAAATGTTAGTCAGAAGTGGCAGGAATACTGGGTATTTTGGGACACTCAGAGAATTCAGATTACAATGAGAAATTTACTTTATAAAAATACTCCTTTTTTCATCGTGTTATAACCAATCGCTCGTTATATTTGGAATATAAAGTCCGCACAAAGGCAACGTCTTCCTTTAGTTTTCACTTACGCTGAAGGGAAGCAATTTCCTTCATCCCATTTTGATTGCTTCTGCACTAAGATTCTCAGCTTGTTGCTGTTGGTACTTGCTTTCTGTGCAAGGAAGGCCCATGTTTCTGTCTTTCCTCTCTCTTTGCAGAGCTCTTTATATAATAACTAAAGTGTAGGGGCACTCTGCAAAGCTGCATCACACGGGGTGGGGAGGTGACGAGCTGAGTTCCGCTGAATCTTCTGCTGTTGATTTAGGCGCGGTAGAGTCAGGAGCAGACTCTGAAAACTCCAGCTGGCAATACATCAGGCTTTTTGATGTTGTGCCCTAATGAAAAGGGAGTGTATCACTGCCCCTCTAACTCTCAGTGATATGTTGTAGTGTTATACCTGCACAAAATGAATTTTTCCCTTGCTACGAAGCCTCTTGAGAAAGCACATCAGACGTGTGATGATAAAAAGGTGTGTGGAGGGTTTGACCTTGCTGCTGGCTTTCTTTTTGCCTCTCGGAGAGCAAGGATTGCTCTGAAGTGCTTCTTCCCAGTTTGATCATTTCTCCCTACCTCTAAAAGCTGGCAATAGCTCGTTTGAGCTTCTTCATTTTGTTTCGAGTGTTGCATTGGAATGCAGACAGTCAAAAAGAAAACACAAAATGTATGCAATCAGATTGTAAGAACAAACCTAAGAGGCCTGAGTGCATTTTGAGGCAATATAAACTACTTTTGGAAGCAGTTAAAATCTTACAGAGCCCATGGACTCTGTGAACAGCAGAGCTGGCAGTGCTGTTGCTGATGTAAGGCAGAACTCCATTAATTTTGAAGGAATTCTCTCAATTCCCGATGATGATAGGTTTGTCCTGCATTTCTATAACCCGAAGACAGATTCCAAGAGAGCTGCTTGTCCTGCCTCTTATGTATGTTTAAGTAGTGAAGATTTTTGTTTGTTGTTTTTTGTTTGTTTGGGGTTTTTTTGTGTAGTACAAATAGCTGCAACTTACTCTATTACACATATGGTGACGCATGGAGACTAAGCTAAGACAATGTCTAATAAGATTTTGAAACTGGAACAAGTCAAAATTCAGGTTGACTGATAAATATGCACTGGATTCTTTGGGCCATATGCATTAGGATTTAGATTTTAATTGCATTATTGATTTTATTTTATTTTTATGGTACATTTTTGCTCGTTTAATTCTGTAGAGTGAAGTTGCTCTAGTATTGAAACCAGTTCTGTCTTGAGATCAAAGACCGTTGCTCGTAAACCATATCTGCAACTGTCACAGAAGTTGGGAAGTGGACTATAAATGAAATGGAATATTTTAACAAAGACTTAGGATCGTTAGGACCGTTTCTTGATGAAAGCAGCGGCCCACTCTCATAAAGAGTGAATTTGACTCCTATTTACGCCACAAATCCCGGCAAGATCCGTTTTTTTTCCCCAAGATGATCGCTATATCTGAAAAATCTAATTTCTGGCTGCCTGAATTGGAGTTCTGAGCTCTGGTCTGCCGAAATACGGTTGCTCAACAGTCTGATTAGTGTCAATGAAAGCTCTGTTTAAAACACATATAGTGCTCTGAAACACGTTTTGCTTTTTTCCTGCTGTCCTGACAGCAAGTCAGGTGATGACCCAATAAAAAGATTTCAAACCCAATTCTTGAGTTTGGTAACATTCTGTACACAATTGAGATGGTGATCTTACCTTGCAACTTGATGGTATAATTTCACAGAAGGCAGCTCTGTCTACAAAATCCTATTTAAAGGGGATGACTGCTTGCTTGGCCTAAGGGAAATTGAGACAAACAGAAACACGTTTACTCCAGAATTCAATACTGTTCTAGCAGAAGGTATGATTTTGGAGCAATTGTCTTTCACTTTCCAGAAGCGCTTCCTCTGTCAGTGTGAAGTCAGCCTGGAGAGGTTTCCAGCTGACATCTTTTCAAAGTGTATCTGCCTTTCAAAATATTTAATATCTTTCTGATGTTGACTTTTCATTGCTGTTCACAAGTCTTTGAAAATAGGAACACGTGTAAGTTTCTTATAGGAGTTGGTGGTGTCATGAATACTTAAGGGCTAAACCAGAGGCTATGTAGGCATAAATCATGGGAGAATATACATAAGAACGTTATAAAGTTTTAATTGTCATAATGACATTGAATTCCAAATTGATGCGAACAAATATTTTCAGACTTCATCACCTACAGGTATTGTATTTGTGAATTGACAATTACCATGTTTTAATTTTGCCAAGTGAAAGACCAGATATTTTTTGTGATTATAATCTATTGTAATCCAGAACATTAGGTTTTCCTGTTTCTATTATGATTTTGTACTTCTTGCCAACACAATCCTTTGTGTTCAGCCCTCTGTGTCTGGTCAGAAAGACACTTGAGGCTTCTTGGGTTACATGTACCTTGGAAATACAGCTCACCATCAGTAAGTCAATAGCTGCTGCATCTTGATAACCTCAATTCGTGTAGCAAAATGTATGTATATATAAAAAAAATTAAATGTAAGAATCAACCATTTGAGTAAAATCAACATAACTGCTACAGTTTCAAAAAAAAATTAAAGACAATTAAACCTGAGTCTAATGGATCAGCTAGAATGTATATGGAGCAATGTCCTCATGCTAAATTTTGCTCTGTAAGTACTTTCTTTCAGTGAAATTGTTAGATTAAGCAGGGATTTTGAAGGTTTTAACTCAATTTTTTTTCTAAATTCTTTCTGAGTTTCCATTAACTGCATTGTCTAATCTTGAAAATAATGGCTTTACATTTGCAGTCTTTCTGCCATAACAGGTTACCTCATTTAAAAAAACATAAGTTATATTTGATGACAGTCTTCCCTCAGTATGTAAAATAATAAAGAGTGTTTGTGTAATGGGAACTTCTAGGCAAAGATAACTTTTGGAAATACTACTTGACCTTAAGGATTATTTTTTTAAATCTTTGACGAAATTGATATAGCTGATCGTGGAGGCGACCAAAGAAGTGTTCATAAGGGAGACTGACAGAGTAGAAACTGAGGAAGAGTAGAAACAGAGTAATTTTTTACATGTTTTCTCTGTAGTTGATTTTATGGCAGATTATATTCACTGAATCCAAATAAATTATTAGTTATTATAGTAAGAGGATCTGGAAAACTCAGGCTGACGGATTTTGTTGTTAAAATCTCAAGCGATGATTGATCAAAACTAACGTTTAATGTTCTCATTGTGCCTCAGGTTCCCAGTCTGAAACTCCGTCGTGCAGTGCCAGTTCCATCACTTGCCCGTCTGCCTGCACCTGCAGCAACAATGTGGTGGATTGTCGGGGAAGGGGCTTGACAGAAATTCCAGCAAACCTACCCGAGGACATTTGGGAAATGTAAGTGCCAGTGTGACACACCATTCTTGTCCGTGTCTCTTTGGTTTTAGTCCAAGTCACAGCCTCCTGTGTCGAAGAAAGGCACATGTTTTGAAAACTGTTCTGAGAGGTTATCAGGTATATTGTGGTTGGCCTCTTCGCTTTCAGTCTTTTGAACTAAGGACTCAAACCATTCTTTAACGTAAATTAAAATACTGTTTGAGGTTGTTCTACCCCAAAGCAAGATGGAGTTCTTGATGTATTAGGTTCAGATTGTGTTTACGTCTCACAAGTCTGGGATTACATCTTAATAGTCAGACAAAGGAAATAGTCTTTTTTAAAAAAAAATGAAAGTTTTATTTTAGGTTGGTGGATTCCCCAAAAGACAGAGGGTTTTTCTTCTTAGTGTGACAGGATGTATTATTCTCAATTCTTTAACACTTCTGTGACTCTTTTGTGTTGTGAGATCAGATGCTGGTTTTACAGACTTGTTTGGTTTTGCTGCCTTTAGGAATTCTAGTAATCTATTTTTGTGTCTGTGACTCTTCATACTACTGTGGCCCTGAAATCCTGTTACATTAAACCACGTTGCTTTTGGTTAGTCCATAGGGAATGCAGATCAGTTCTTTTCCTGGTCAGGTGCTTGCCATGCAGAAGTTACTGACATGCAGACAGCTTTTCCAGTCCACGTTTTATGGATTCAAATATTTGTGTGGTCACTGGACTCATTCAGCTTCTCGTTGCAGTAGAAATTCTGCCACTTAGCAAAATTCACTAGGATAAAGTAGAAGTGGAATTGTTTATTTGTAGCCTGGCGCACTATGATATGCCAGGAATGTGACAGTTATGGCCCATGATGATCCTGAGGTATATTGTTTGCTGGTGATCTATTCTACACTACCACTTTTTAAGTTACTTTATCGGTTCCTTCTATAATTTGAGTTTCATCTCGAATTTGTTTGGAGGGCTATCTCAGCACAACAGTTTAGCAGTAGCTTATGCTTGGCTGTGCATCTCCACAGAACAGGAATGTTAGAAATGAAAAAGCTCAGTAAATGTGAGGAATAAACAACATCTTAAAATGAACGTTGTTGAGAATGTGCGTGGAGCATGTAAAAATGTTTACAGGCAATATGAACTCTTATGCAAGCTGTTCTGAATGCCCGTTAACCTGCTTGCTCGCTTCCTGAGAGTTGGAATGTATTGGTTGTGTTCACTTCCAGTATATTCTGCAATATACTATGTATTCCAGTATACTGGAATAAGCACATCATGCTTGTTTTTTATCTGCATGAAAACTGGTTAAAGTTATCCTGGAAATATAAATTGTGTTTGGCATACTAAGAATATTCAATGTTTAATCGTGTTTCCGATTCTGTCAGATCGAGTACAAATTTTCAGGAGCGGCTGGAATGGTTCAGTAACGAGACAGAGGATGAAATTGGTCCAGACTTGCTCACAAATTAGTCTGGGAGAATTGTAAAATTTTATTTTGTAGTGTTGAAAAGGCTAGCAGAAATAAGATGAGTTTTGTGGCTCTATGCTAGGGTCATGTAGAGAGCAGTATCTGCAGGAAGATGGAGATTGGTGTGAGGGAAGACTGGGAGAGCCTTTAAGGTTGATGATGAGGTAGCAAGTCAAGATGCATAGAACATTTTTAAAAACTTTCATAACTTGGAGGTTATAAACCTTCTAGATCTGTAAAACACCCCATAAAGCTCTCAGCACACTGGTTTAGATCTGTTGGACTTGCATTTTAGGCAGTACTTATTTGTGTCTTTGTAGATAAACCTCTTCTTACTCTAATCCTGTGCATATCCTTTGCAGTTCATGGGTACTTCAGGTGGGAATAGCTCTTCAGAACTTTAGAGTGTGATCCTCCTGAAAACATGTATTGCTCACTTTCTGTGGGAATCAGTCTTGTGAAGATTTAATTTTTATGGAATTTATGTTAAGATAGGGTTCTGAGAAACATCTTTTAGTTGAAGATGTCCCTGCTCATTTCGTGGAGATTGGACTAGATGGCCTTTAAAGGGTCCTTCCAACCCGAAGTATTCAATGATTCTGTCACAATAAGTCTCAACAAGTGATGCCACTTGCATATTCTTTCTTACTTGTAAAATGGTATTTTCGTTTTATAAAAACACTATTAAAAAAACCCACAAAAACAATTAACCTTATATCCAAGGGCAAGGCATTACTTATTCTTACGTAGAGGAAAGGATACAGTTACATAGAAAAATGTTTCTGGAAAGATGGAAGAAGCTGCCACCATTTTTTCCCAGAAAAATCCTGACATAAATTCTTTTGACCAAGATAGCCATTCTGGTTTATGCAGAAGTCTGTCATACTGCTCAGAAATTCAGTTTGTCTGAGGCTGCTCTGGGCTTATTCAATATAAAATCCATCCAGAGGTCTGGTTCCAGCTACACATGGAATAATGTCTGCCCTTTGATTTGATATGATAGGCAGAATAATACTCTTTTGCTATAATGTTATAGCAATGAGGCCAAGTAAATTCTCTGTGCGTGCAGCAGCCCACATCTCTTGCTCTCACGCAGCACTGCTGTTGGTTTTTAGTTTTGGGTTTGGTTTTTTGCCCCTTGGGATTTATCCACCGTGGTTACCATTTAGTCAGACGCTTTGTATAAAAGCTGGCTGTATGGTGGTGCTGCCTGAACGCTTCTTTCTGGACTCTGTAATCCTATGATCGGATCCTCATCATCTCCGAGAGATCTGGCTCTTACTAGAGATGAGATTGCTCCTATGGAATATCAGGCACCAGCAAACTGTTGCTGTTACACGGGATCCTAAGGGGTGTTCCCTGAGATGGTGTGTTTTTCATTCAGCCACATCTACCTAGCATGGTAAATACTCATTCCATTAAAATACATTTCTTCTTATAGACTCTAGTCCGTTCGTACTCTTTCTGTGATGGTATTAAAATGCTGCGCCTTCCTCAGTTCCACTTGTGCAATCTCCAAGTTCCTTTGCTATTAGTAGAATTCTGTTACAACTTTCTAGTTCTCGTATTTCCCCTTAACTCAGTATTTCTTTGTAAGCCAAATTGTTTCCGATAAGAACCCCTGACTCACAAACTGTACTACAGAAATGAAACATGCAGCTGTTACTCTTAACATGGTTATTAAAGGTGACCTACATTTCACTGTGTTTTGGTATTAATTAAAGATCTTTTACTCGGCTTTCCTGCCTTTCTTCATTAACATGTGCAGGCAGAACCTTCTCTGACAAAGCTGCCAACAAGTTCTAAATTTGTTTTCTGTTGTTAAAAATCTGTCACAAAACAGGCAACTCACTTGTCACGGAACATAAAACAAGCATCACGCGGCACTAATTTTACCTCGCTGCTGACCTCTGCCACGTGTGTCTTAGAAATCTGTTGTGCTACTCTATTACACCTCTCCCCAAGGTGCATTATCCTCAAGGCCCTCATGGCAAGAATGTTTATTATTAAATAAAGGAATTGAGAAAAGCTAGAAATCTGTATCCCAGCCTCACTTTTTCATAATTTCATAAAGTAAGTAGCTAGAAAGTACAGAATGCAATTCATTTTTTTATAAAGCTTCTTGTTCAGTGGGGAGCTGACAGCAGCAGCCAAATTGACTGAGGGAAAATGAGTTACAAGAGATTGAGGCTGAGGAGTACAGACTTTGTGTTGAATGTCATAAAGGTTCTCTGCTTACAAAGTGGTTCTCTTGTGTTTTTCAGAGTAGGAATGAACAGTGTATGTTACAGACAAACACATGAGAATAGGGAAAAGTTTTGCATGAATACTTGGAGGAAAACAAAAGTCGTTAAGCACCTGGAGGCATTTACTGAAAAAGAAATACCAAAACAAAAAGGGCTTGATGGTTTGCTGGTAAATGAACAATATAGTCATTTCACTCCATTGGAAAAGCATCTGCAATAAAAGAAGTTTGCCTTTATTTAGAAAGGGTGAGAGAAGTTGCATGCAAGATAAACAGGGAACGTAGTGGGAGTGCAGAATGGGAGGGATATAGGGAGGGAGGGATGACCTGCTAACTAGTAGGAGAGACAAAGTCACCGAAGAAATCTCTTTTTCTCATCAGACTTGCTCACAGCCTTGCAGCCAGTGCCTGTCAGACTGAATGACACCTCAGCCCGTAAAGACAGCAAAGCCAGGGTGTGGTAGAGACCTGGGAATCTAAAGCTACCAGCGGTGCCCTGCAGCACGTGGGAGCTTGGAAGGGTGCTGTGAGAAACACAAGAGCGTGTTTCATTCAGCATGGGCTTTGGGCTGCTCTGGGCTCAGGGCATTGGGCTGGAGGGACCTGAGCTCCAGCACTGCCTGCCCATTCTCGGTCAGTAGCCTGTGGCTGGTTTTATGCCAGGGAGAGGACAGCTTTCCTGAGCTTGCGGATGTGGGGCACTGGGGCAGTGGCATTGCTGGCCTCTCTGTAGTGTTTCAAGCAGTATTTGCTTCAGCGTGCTGCCCACCAAGATCATTTGACGCCTCGCAGTACGGGAGAGTAATCAATAACTCCCTGTTAATCTTCTCCCCACCTCACTACACTTTTCCTCTGTCCCCTCTGTAGAATGGAACTTTCATACTGCTTGTCTATCTCAGACCAATCTGCTTCATTTTTTTACTTATTGCTGTGAACGAGGCTGTATTTTAGGCTATTAATTCCGGACAGCTTTGGTCTGAGAATTTCATACACATTAAAACAGCAGTAAGGGCTAGGTTGTGGGTTGGGTGTGCTCCTGTTACACAGGGCTTTCCTTGGGATGGGCTTAGTTATTTCAGCTTTTGGTTTTGAATCCACTAAATCAAATTTATTTTTTTTTTAAATGCCAAAGTTAGTGTTTGTTGTCACTGTCTTCAGTTTAGTGCCTTTGTATATATTTGTTGTGGTATGCACTTTAATTACAGCATGATCTCATGTTGTTTTTAAAAGACTGAATTCATTTCTTGTCTAGGGATGCGTCAGGGCTGTGCAGTGGGGGAGCCTGTGTATTTAGGGTCTGTTTATTTGTTG